TGTCTGAAGCATTATCCGCAAATCGAGAAAGTTGTGAACTTCCGGGTCTTGTTTCCGCACTTCGGGGACGATTTGAGGCCATTGGTAGATGAGGTGATGGAAATGTGCCTGATGCTGAAGATGGGCGAGAATTTGGACCCCAAGCATTGGGTGAACCAAGCGATTCACTTCCAGCTGTTGATGGCCTTGAGCCTCCACCAGAGGAGGGCCGGCCATTGAAGTGACTAGATGAACTGGAACTTCCATCATTCTTGGTAAACAGAATTGACGAGGAACCCCATGCGTTTGGTGTTGTAGATGGTGCTTTGCTACCCCAGGTGAGGGTGCCCCTAACATTGAAACAAGAGTCTCATGACACAGTAATTAAGGGAGAACATCGAGACCATCCTAAAACTTAAAATGAGCAGCTAGGAAACAAGGATGCATACTTACTTTGGAACAAGTTCCAGATTGGGATCAAGACCATTGTTTTCCAACCTAAATTAAAAAAAAAATCAATCCACATATAGAAAAAAAGCCTCTTAACGATTTACTATTAATAACCTAGGAAAATTATTACCTCTGACTTGGTAAATTAATTGGTTTTGGGACTTTTCCCAGAACAGTCATACCAGATTTCCTTGCAGGAGTAGCACCCCATCTGAAGGAAGCCATAGGGAATTTGATTATGAAAGTACAAAGACAAATGTTGGCTATCAGTACAACGAAAAATGTACCCATACAAATTACAAATATGAGATATCCCACTAAATAACATCACAAAACAAGGCAGTTAATAATATGGACACAATATTAATCAGCAGGTGCAACAGAAGAATTGTTACAGGTGGGGCAAAATACAGGAAGCAAAATTATGTTCAGAAGCTTTTGAGATAACTAGCACAGTGCTAGTTCTGAATGGGCCAGGATACTGTGCCTTATCACCTCAATTTGTAATGTGTACACGCAATTGTGCAACAAACTTTCGTATGTTTTGTGAAATCATTAATTAGGGATTCTCAACCTAAATATTGCTTCCTCTGATCACAAATGTAAGTCCATTTACGTCTGTCCTAAGTCCGCCTTTTCAGCTTTTACTAGCAATATCTATAAAGATATATTATCTTAATGAGAAGATATATATATTATTTTTCACTATATGAAGTATGAACCTACTAGTTTCGATCTTGTGTTGAAAATTTTGATATTGACGGTTGAGATAAGAATAGACAAACCTAGAAGAACTTATTGTGACCGGAGGAAGTACAAGTAGAGAATCACAGCTTTTTACTAAGCCCACCGTAAAATCACAAATAGGTTACACAGAAAAGTTGCAAAAAAAAAACAAGAAGGCCTGATTCAAACATGGCAAAAGGTAAGCAAGCTCACTCACAGCGCAGAGCATAAAATCACCGCATCATTAACAGCCTCTGGTGTTGTCCCCGCAAATGGACTACCGGACACATCCAATGTCCAAACCGACAAAACCTCCATATAATTATCACCAATAAAACACTTAGGCGCCCGCATGATGACACAAGTGCCACACCAGCTGAACTTTGTAGCTCCATTGAGCCAATCAGCAGCTCAATGTCAAACCCAACCATCCAAAAGCTAGCATCTATACCTCCAAAATCAATTGAAACAGAGGCTGCTGCTCTCACGCCCCCACCGCCCCACACCAAACAGATGGTAATTTTCTAATTTTTTTATAGAAAAAAAAATCACACGTACCAATGCACAGGGACTACACGATCAAACCAGAATTGCGAACGGAAAGTTCAATAGAATAATTGTATCGTGTGGGAGCATAGGATGGAGATCACGAACCTCCTGTCCGTGGTGAGCAGGCTCGAGGCCATGGCCCCTCTTCCCCGCGGAAAACGCCTCTCTAATTCCCCGGTGCTGAATCGAGCGGAACCAACTGCGGAGCGCGACCGAGGCCACAAGGCCGCGGGAGATCGAGATCTCTGGGGCCGCCTCCCAGGAGCCACGGGGGGGGGGGGGGGGGGCGGCGCGCCGAAACCCTAGGGGGCGAACGGAGGAAGCGATCAGCGCGGGAAGCGGTCCGCTCGGATCAGCGGCGCACAGCGCGAAGGCGGGTGCTAGAGCAGGTAGGGGGGGTAAACGGGGCCCTCGTCGCCCTGCCGTCCGGCGAGCGGCGGCGGTGGTGGGGGAGGATGACAGGTGGGGCCCGCTCGTCAGAGTTGGAGGCGGGATGCCGAGGCGGCGGGGGGGCGACGGGGAGGGAAGAGAGAAGGTTGGGGAGGCGTTCGTGAGAGCGATAATAATAAAGGGTCGGAGAGGACGGACGCGTGGCGTGGCGGGAGTGGACGCGGGGACGGGAGCCCGTGCGCTCCCGTGGCCCCCAGATGTCAGGGAAAGGCACGTGGCGGAACGGGAGCGGAGGAGATGCGTGGTATGGTGTGGCTGCAGGGAGCATAGGATCCGTGTCGGGCTTGAGATGGTTTGTTTGGGTGCTTGGATTTGGCTGGCCACATCTGATCCCACGATTTGGACGTTCCGTGCGACGCAAGGATATACAAGAGGCGACAGTTTAATAAATGTTTAATACTCCTTCCATTTCTGCTGACAAATAACGACACAAATCACCGTTCCCCCTTTATATTGCTGATCATTTTTAAATGGATTAAATGCTCCTCAACTAACATGTTGATCTGATTTTCACCAATAACTACAAAACCGTAAGTCCAGCAACTCCAACTTTTTAAACCGTTCACTTTTAGCACCTGGACACGGTTAAGGCTATATTGCGCTAACGTGCGCCTAGTTTTGACCCGCCACGCTGGCATTGACCGCCAGTGCAGGTCAAAATAGGAGCCAACCCACTCAACTCTCTCTCTCTCTCTCCATCTCTCTCCCGAACCCTAGCCGTCGCAGTCATCTTCTTCGCTGTTGCCGCCTCCTCCACCTCCACCATCGTCACCATGGTCGCATCCTCTCCTCTGGCGTTTCCGCATCCACGGCCCAGGTGATGGGCGACTACATAAATTATGAACATAATAACATTAAATTTATAGGAATATATGGTTAGTACTTATCCAAGCAAAACAAAAATGAAAGATCGTGATAATTCAAAAAAATAGCACATGGTCAACTCACAAAAGTCGTTACACATCCACAAGTAGACAGGGGTCCATGTTTGATCCCATGGTCTGAATTTTAGCCACTAAACTTCAAGTCACTTTAGCTTTTAAGGCTCAAATAGAAGGTTTAAAGTGTTATCTGAAGTTTAGCCAACCTTACAAAAACTTTTGACCACACAAGTGAGGTAAAGCGGTCAAGTTTGTGTTTAACTTTAGTTAACTAAACTTTAGATCAGAAAATCCAAGCAGACTCTAGAAATTGCTATTTTTCACATATCTCTTTTGTTCCAATTTTTGTTAGGCAGCTGATCCCAATCGTTGGATTCCGATCTGACAACTAACCCATCTTGGCTAGCTAGGACCGTCTCCAATTACCATTACCCAAAATACAAGACCCATTTCACGTTTGGGCAGCGCTACAGGCAAATGATTCAATACCCATTTTTAGTCTTCTCCAATAACGAGACACAAAAGAGAACCCTTTATGCAAATGGGTCTCCATAAGAGAAGATACTCAGCTTTGGGTTATATCTCCCCTGATATCTAAAATGGGTCTTCTATATAAGTAATATGTTGGAGACTATAGGTATTCTGTTGGAGACTTATTTTGAGTTTAGGTCTTCTGATGGGTCTCCTGTTGAAGACAGCCTAATGCCTCGTAAATCCGTAGACCTCTATACTTCACCTTGGCTAGCTAATCACGTGAGGCAAAATCACCACGGAAACTACAACATAGCTTAGCAAAGATTATTATACTTGTTCAACTCTTTTGTCACATCGCCGCGCCCCATCTATTCCATAAGCACTATTTCAAGAACAATAAACCTAAAACTATAAACTCAATTGTCTTTTGTTGTATAAATCAATTTGGAACTATATATTTTCACCTTTTATGTCTAGACCTGATGATCAGAAAGATCATACCTCTTTTCTCCAAAGAGATGGTTTAAACTCCTCTAGTCTTGATATCTCAATCCAGCTAATGATATTGATGTTTTGTTTGTCAAGTGGATCCGTGAGCTTGTTACAGACCTCACAATGTTGGCATTGCCAGGCGAGAGATTTGTGCCTTTACATCAACAATTTGATATATTTTTCGTAACATAATCAATACAAATACTACTACTGTTATACTCTCAATTTTCTCATCAACAAATTGTAAAAGTACATTCTTAGGCCATTCTTAGTGGAGAGTTTCATAACATTGTTTTCAAGATGCAATAAAATATGGATAAAACAATCACTCTCAATGAATTTTGTTTCATAGAGACCCCGTTCGCTTCGCTGAAAAAACAAGTCGAACCACTGTTCCGGTTGATTTGTTGTGAGAGAAAAATACTGTTCGGACTAAAAAAACAAGCTAAAAAGTACGAATTATAAGATAAGCGAACAGGGCCAGAATAGACATTTAATTTGATGACTCATATAGTTGAGCCAATAGAGTTTTCATTCCCATGAAACTTAATTTTTCTCATTTTAAAACGTTGCCATATTATAATAAAAAAAGTTATATGACAACTTTTTTTTTTGAGAAACATATGGCTACCTATTAGATGCAGGAAAAACTATGATAAAACTTTCACCAAGACTAGCTTTAGATCCTCACAAAATCACTACAGGTATTTCCCCTAAAAAAAAGATCAAAAATGGCGCGGTGGCCCATGAGAGTAGTACTTTATCGGAGGCAGTAATGAAGTTGACTGGGCTGTACGGCCCTTCGCCGATGTGTCAGATTCATGTGTAGGAAGGGAGTCGTTTGGGCCGTAGCCCTTCCCTTAGCCAGGCTCGTCTACCTACTGCTCGCCTGCTCCTTTATAAATAGAGCTTACCGGCCCGGTGCTCTGCTCACCCGAGCTGGGAGCTGCCGACTGCCGAGCATGCACTAGAGGTCGGACGAGCCACGGAGCCAAGGAGATGTCGCAGTCGCAGCGGGCACCGAGCTCGCCGTGCGACGCCACGTGGAGCCTCGCCGGCGGTGGCGGCGGCGTCCCCAGGAGGCACGCCCGGTCGCAGTCTCCGGTGAGCGGGCGGTCCGCCTCCGCCACGCCCAGCTGGGCCAGCTGGCGGTGGTCCTCGACCTCGATGACGGACGACGGCGACAACGCTGACGACGAATGCGGCGTGGTGGTGGTGCCGGCGAGGGGCACCGAGACGCCCGCCACGCGCGCCCGGATGCCGGGTCTGTCCCGGTGCGCGTCCTTTGAGGCGCGGGCGAGGATCGGCGCGGCCTCGCCGGGCACCGCGCGGCGCGTGGCCGTGCGGCTCTACGACAGCCTCCGCCGCCACGGGCTGCGCCAGGAGGCCGACCGCGCGTTCCGCGACGCCGCCGTTGCCAACGACGACGCGCCGGCGGCGGACGGTGGTGGCGGAGCGGCGGCGGAGCGGGAGCTGACGGGGATGGCGTGCCTGCTCAAGGACGGCTTCGTCGGCTACCTCAGGGAGCTTGCCAAGATCACCCCACCTGTTCCTAAGCAGGTAATTAAACGTATACGTAGTACATATGTCAGGGCGTTCATGCATGGCTGCAGTTTTGATATCATGCGTTGGATTAGTATTCAGAAAACAAAACAGCAACAGCTTGAGATGCTATCACAACAAGCAAAAAACATTAAGGATTGGAAAAACCTTTACCATCACATTTGGGTAATTGGCTAGGGCGTCAACAAAAAGACAAATCTCTCATTGATAGGTTGATGATCCGAAGTGTAGAACAGAGCATAGCTAAAGCAAATTTGAGTGGGATGCGCTCGACTTAGGGGTGCATAGATACATTACTTCTCGAACATGAAAAGAATATTGGGACAGTACACACCGGGTACAAATTGTAAATTGTTTAAGGTTTGTCCTGTGCCAAACTTCATCAAATTTATAAAAATATATTAAAATCTACGATACCAAATAAATAAAACCGAACATGATATTATAGATGTATGTGCATTTTCCCTATAAACTTAAATCAAAATTGATGCTTGAAGTTTGACTTAAAACAAAAACTAAAGAGTCTGTCTACTGAAAACTCGGGTGATTTACAACCTCCCGTCACCCGAGTGACAGAACAACTTAAATCACTCGAATTTACCAAACAAAACAAATCTGAGTGTTTCAAGGTGTTATGTCACTCGATTCCCATAACCACGAGATCAAAATCCAACGAACCAAATAAAAGAAAAAAAACAGAGCGAAAAACAAAGAAAAAAACAAATTAATCAGATCAATTGTATGAAATGCAAATTAGAAGAAAATCAAAGCAAAGAAAAAAGACAGATTAAACAGACCAGTTCTATGAAAAGCAAATTAGAAGAAGATCAAAGCAAAAAACAAAGAAAAAAGACAAATTTAATAGATCAGTTCTATAAAAGACAAATTAGAAGAAGATCAAAGCAATAAAACATTAAGACAAAAAAAGAGCCAAAAACAAAGATAACAGAACTGTTCAAGTAATCCAAATCACCATTCTTATTTATAAAATCAATTTACACCAATTAAACATAGAACTTACACCCAAATAGTAATAGTAAAATATGTTACAATGAGATGTAATCTGTAACTACTAACAAGGAATGAATTTGTACAAAGTGGCCGGCAGCGGATGGGTGGGGAGGCAGAAGTAAGCAGGGGCGCGTGGCGTGGCAGCTCGGACGCTCGGTGCCCGGTCAACGGCGACGCCAGGACGGCAAGGCCGAGGGGCACGCCAGGGTGCAGGGTCGCAGGCGTGGCGGGGTGCGGTGGCGCGGGCGCCGTGGTGGGGTCGGAGGCAAGGAAGAAAGAGAAGGTCACCGAGGCAAGGTCGGAGGCAAGAAAGGAAGAGAAGGACGGGAGAAGAAAGCTGCGAGGAGAAAAGCCCGTGTACTCAGTATTTTACATGCTTCCAACCAAGAGCATGTTCGCTGGTGGGTTTCTGGGCTGATAAGTTCGGCTGATGCTGGTTTGTTGTGAGAGAAAAATACTGTTGGCTGACTGATAAACTCTAATTAAAACCAACAAACGAACAAGCTTCAAATGAAGTGGGGTGCAGGGTGTCGTGGGGTGCAGGGGTGTCAGACTCAGAGCTATACTGGAGTAATCGTGTGATGGAACGTGAGTTGTTCAGTGCGTGAGCTGGGATGCGCCTTATCCAGCTGCATGCGATGGGGAAGAGTGTGCAGGCACAGGCGCTTCGTCTATCATCAAGTCCGTTGACATAAGCAGATGGACGGCTAGAAAATCGAGTGACGGACGCGCCAGAAACGCTCGAGTGAGCTACAGATTTACCGAAACTAAAATGACTTGGATAGTTTGGAAAGGAGAGAACAATATGTTCAACATTTCAAGGTAAGCACTTCTTTGGTTCGTCCCATTCTTAAATCAATAACTGTGGATGTGAGAAATGTCCAGTGTTCAAAAAGGCGATGCCTTAGGCGCGCCTAGTCGCTAGTCGATGGGTTCCCGCCTGGCCTATGGGGGTAGGCGGACATCCAGGCGCAAGGAGGTAGGTCGCCGGTGGGGGAGGTCGCAGCGGGAGGTCGCCGGTGAGGAAGGAGGAGCCGAGAGCGGCGGCAAGCGCAAGGCGATGGGCGTGTCTTGGCGGCAAGAAGCGGGGGGGGTCCTACTGGCCTAGGGGTGGCGGACCTTAGGCGGTAGGCGGTGCCTGCCGGTCGGGCGGCGGGTGGGGGAGGAGGAGCTCTGGCGAAGGTCGCGGAGAGAGGAGGAGGAGGGGGGGGGGCGATGGCGTCGTGTCAGGAAGGGCGGCACGCACTAGAGGAGAGAGAGATGCCGGAGAGAGGAGAGGAATCGAGGCGGGCGGTGATCTGCAAAGCTACCGAACAGAGGAAGCGGCGTCGAGCAGAGGATGCGGAAGACCGAACAGAAGGATAAGGTTGGAGACCTGGAGTGGGAGATGGGCTGGACTGTTGCCATTTGGGCCTTTCTGTCTCTAAGCCAGCCTTTCAATCTATCTAAACCCATTATTTCAGCTGTTTATTTTTTCTTTTAGAAGATAATATATGTATATTAGTATATATAGAAAACGCCTAGAAAAACGCCTAGGCTCTGGCTATGGGTCATCGCCTAGAAGTCGCATAGCGCCTAGCTGAACTTTGGAAATGTCCCATCGCCGTTCATCATCATTTGCACCATAATACTTCACAAAAAGTTGATCACGCTAGCTGGAGTAGCAGTTTCAATCCAAAACTTGTAGAGAGTCAAATAGATTACTTAAAAGAACAAATTAAAGCAGAATCATACTCGAGTAATGCTCCGAAGTGACAAAGCAGAAGCAAATGTAGTTTTGAAACGTCAGGACAATGTAGTTTTAGTTCATTGGTTTCAATTTCAATAATCTTGTCTTTGAAAAAACATTCAATAATCTTCGTGCCTTTAAAAAATACCAACCATTTTAACTGAGAACACTTTGGATCTTCAAATGTGCTTTAACTTGAGGACTAAACTTGTCCTTTTTTTTTCAAATGAAACGAATTGTAACTACTATACATATACATATCTTCTGTGCAGCCAGCCATTCCACAAACAGGTTGGCTTGCATACATAGACTGTCATCAGTTCTACACAAGCTTATATATAATATATACTATGAACAAAATTAGTATAACTAGATACAGTGGTTTAAAAGGTGCTTTCTTGGCATGTAGTGTGTGACAGAGACCAAAAATAGAACAATAATAACATCAGCCTACAAGTTGAGACAATTAGCAGCGAGCTTTAGGTTTGACTAACCATATCTTATTATTACAGACATTAGGTCATTCACGTTGAGGATACAGGAATTCTCACCACGTGGAACAAAATGATCCAATGACCGTGTCAAATTAATATAGTTGAACGAAACATTAATAACGAGTTGAAGCAACGAGAAGCATCCACATGATCATCTGATTTGCTAACTATGATGATACCTCCCGATCAAGTGGGGTTACAAGTTGAACATAATAATTAATAATATATATGTCCCGTATACATCTAAGCCGGCTTCTCAATAAATGAACAGTCTTCATGCTTGTCAATAAACAGAAACATGAGTACACAGAACCGCTACCTTATATAAAAAAAAGAATTTGTAGACAAGTCTCAAAGCAATGAAAAGGATTTGCAGCCACAGGTACCACTGAGTAGTACCATATCAATACCGTTACCGTATGGTAACTAATGCAATTTAGGTTGAGCATCTGAGAATGGCTAATTGGACAAGGTCACAAGGAATCTAAATATGTAATTGTACGATTTTTTTCAACAGCAGTGATCTAACCATTTATAGTAATTATAAATGAAAAGGACAACGCCTAGGCTTAAAACTATGCAACTGAATACAACATTAGTACCCATTCCAAAAAAAAAAAAACATTAGTACAATGTGGTACTATATTAGACAGCATCAATATGAATTGAAATAAAACTCATATTTGGTACTGCAGGTCGTTAATGTTAGGTATTGTGTTCTCATATATAAATTTAGGTATTACGTTCTAAAAAATATATGAATTTAGGTATTAAGTTAAACAGAGTTAGTACAATGTGGTACTGCAGGTCGTCAAATTCTGTGGGATAACATACCTGGCGAAGATCGAGACAGCTACCTTCAGCTATGAAACCTTTGGCAACAAGCTGCTTGAGTACTTTGTGCAACCAATAAGAAGCCTGTCCCTGAGCAAGCGATCAGCAGAGCTTCAAATCTTGAAGGGAATTGATGGCTACATCATGCCGGGTTCTATGACTCTAGTCCTTGGTCCGCCTGGTAATCAACCTTGTTCAATTCAAGCATGCACAGTGTTTTCCTACGTTCAAATTTCAGAATAAGTATTATTTTGATCACTAGAATTTTAAGATAAGTACAAAAATGTTCCTTGTCATTGGAGAGGATCAAAATTCCCCCTAAATTTAAAACTATAGGGATCTTAATTTGTGTGTAACTCAAACCTTGTAAAACCAAACACAACCACTTTCCCCTCAAAGTAAACCAGTATTTATATGAGCATTTTATCACTTACTGTTACCAGTCTCTGCCACGTGCAGGCAGTGGAAAGAGCACCTTGCTGAAGATACTTGCCGGTAGAGCCGATCCAGGCCAAGATTCTGGGCTGTCAGGCATAGTCAACTACAATGAAAAGACAGCATCTGAAGTTCGAAAGAGTCGATTAATTGCCTATGTCTGTGGACAGCTCAACATGTAAGACAACTAGAGAAGATATAGATTGCAAGATTGTAATACCCAGCAAAAACAGCCTCATCTAAATGATATGAGCTTAGGTTATCACTAGAAACTGAAATCAAGCTCTCTAACAAACTGTTCCTTTCCTTTGGGCAAAATTGGGAGAAGACATGGAAACCAAAAGGTTATAACAATATTTAGTGATGAAAGTACACAAAAAACCCTCTTCAGACATTTACTTGAGATGGGTTAGTTACAGGAAAAAAGTAACAAAGAACTTAGGTCTAGCTATGTTATGACAGGTTTATTTGCGAAGAGAACAAAAAGGGATAAAAGTTAAATTTGTACATCTGCCACATATTCTTGCTTTCGTAGTCTCTCATTCTGTTACTTTCAAGAACAGCATCCTTAACTCTGGTTTCTATCCCAGGCACATCCCCTTCCTCTCAGTCCGAGAAACTCTCGAGTTCGCAAGGGACTGCATGCAGGTTCTCCGGCCTGAGAATTTTACTCCACAGATGCGAAAGTTCTTTGCCTACGCGCTTGTAGAAGGACAGGATCCTTTCCTTGAATATGTCATGCAGATTCTTGACCTGAAGAAAATAGAGAATTGCCTTGTTAGTGGGATATCAGATACTGACAGGGATAAACTGACAATAGCTGAACTTGCACTAGGGACCTACTCAGTTATGGTCTATGACCAGCCATTGACAGGCTCAGACCTGGCAATGACCTATGATTTGGTCAATACTATCAGGGCTGTCTGTAGAATCCAACAATCATCTGCAGTCATGGCCCTCAATCACCTCTCGCAAGAAGCATTTGATCTCTTCGACAGGATCATCCTACTGGGAGAAGGGCATGTGCTGTACCAAGGGCCAAGACAGGACGCAGTCACATACTTTGCTCAACTAGGGTAACTAGCTACACATGTTCTTCTCAAATATTCAGGTGAATTTGATGACAATACACATTTAATAATTTTTTTTTTGCTATTAGGTATATGAAGCCATCGCATGTCGAATCCTGGGAGTTTCTTCAAGATATTGCTGCTGAAAATGGAATGCAGTACCTATTACCAAGGTTAACTCCTAGAGGTTTGGTGGAGCTTGTGGAATGCTACTATTCATCTGACCATTACTTGGATATCGTAAGGGTCATTGGAAAGAACAAGGAGTTCAGTACATACTGGGTTGAGAGTGAGCCAGGAATCGGCTTATCCTTGAAAGAAGCAAGCACCTTAAACTCAAATGCAGAACATCAAGAAATGGGTCAGTTTTTTTGGTCAAGTTGCCATACAGTGTACAACTAACTATTTGTATATACATTGAGACTAACACTGTATTAACGATCTCATTTTTACATTCAGAAATAGTTGTGGCAAAGCTTCTGAACAAATCTGGATCTGCTACTGGGGCTGAAAGTACAGGGAACATCCAAGTAGGCGATGTGGTAACAGGAATTTCCATAAACGAAGAGCCAATGCAGTATCTAGTGACTGGGCCAATATTTGACCAACAGCAACATCTAGATCAAGTTTTCTCCAGTCTACTTCATGCCCGAGGACATATCCGCCTTCAACTTGAACGATCTGACCATAAGGCAAGTGAAACTATTAATGTTTTCTTCAGACCTTATTCTTCTGATTATCAGTGGTAAATCATAAGTTGATTAGGTTTCAAAATTTTGTCACGATGAACTTGAAGATTTATTCAATAATTCAATACTGAAGTATTTCACATTTGATAAATAAAAAAACCATAGAGCAATGAGGATGAATTACGACGGGAGCAATTTAAGAGGCCATATGTGCAACCATGGTGGAAATCAACAAGAACCCTGATCAAGAGGCAGCTTAGGATCTTGAAACAACTTCAAATGTTGAGCACACTCAGAATCATCCAGGTTTGCCAATTATTATTAAACAAACATGGCAGATGAGTCGGCTCCTTGGTTTATCATGATAGGATAAGGTACATTACTAAAGTTCTTTTTTCAGGCATGCATTCTTGGTATATTTGCAGGGACACTGTTCTACAAGCTTGGTGGCCAGTATAATCTTCAACACATGAACTCTGTGAGAGCTCTAGGATTTGTAACCAGCATGAGCATTTTGCTCATAAATATGCCTCAGCTACCTCTATATATGCTTCAGAGACCCACATTCTATAAACATAGGGACCAAAGATTTTTCAGGACATCCTCTTATGTTGTAGCTCATTGCATTAGTAATCTACCCCAGGCTTTTACTGAGGTAATCTCATCCTTCAACTTTTTGTCACCAATAGTTAACATCTGCACATATATGCAGTCTAAATGGTACTTGATCCTAAACATAACCAGCATATTACTTTCTAGCTTCACCACTATGACAACAAAGGTTGTATAATGCAAACATATTATGTGTAATGCAGGCACTCCTTTATTCAGTTTGTGTGTATTTTCTAGCGGGTCTGACATTGGAAAACAATGGAGTAGTGTTCCTCGACTACTTAGTTCTGATGTTTCTCGTGGCTTACTTTGGATCATCATTCTTCTTCTTTCTGAGTGCAGTGGCACCCATTCCTGAAGCAGCAAATGCTTTGGCAGGTAATTAGTTTTTCCCTATCTTTGTAACTTTAAGTATGAGAAGACAGCATTACAAAACTTTGGTTAGCCTGGTTTAAATTCTGTAGTTCTATCAAAATTAACATGTAGATTTCATCTGATATACTGTTTCGAACTGCTACCTGCATGCAGGCCTCATAGTCGCCATTTTCCTTCTGTTCAGTGGATTTGTGATTTACCCATCTAATATCCCTCAATACTGGAAGTGGCTATTACACATCAATCCAATTCGTTGGGCCAATATGTCCTTCTGCGATCGACAGTTCTCATATGGTTACAAAGACTTCTGCAACAAATATCTAAACCAACTTACTTTCTGCAAGGACAATCCAGAGATGGCTACTGGCAAGGCCTACTTAATCTATGCTGAACTGTTGACAGGTGTTTCAGGAAAGCCTTGGTTCCCTTATATAATTCTAATTGGTTGGACGCTACTCGCCCTGTTAATGGCATTGATATTCCTAAATAAGATAGAGTTTTCGCAAATCAGTCAATCTGTGCCACAGATTAAAAAAAGGAAGCTTTCAAAGAACTTTTTGTATGATGTGGAGATTTATTCAAGTTCAACTGACAGTTGTATAGAAGCTTCTATTGAGTCAGGAAGACACAAGTTTCTGGAGTCACCAAAGTTAGCATCTAGTTCCACAACAATATTTTCTGAGGATGAGAATGCGAGTGTCAGGAACTGGAGGGAAGAATTTAGAGTTAAAATTGATTCAGAACAGTTGACAATACCAGTCACACTGATGACTTTATCATTCTTGGAACTATCATTTGTCAGGTAATTTTCCAATTAATTCTGCTGCAATTCTACACTAGCGTACTGTTTTATAAAGTGTGCACCTGAAAGTTAGCAAAATATTATTCAGAGCATAACATATTATGAAGTGACACAAATGGAACTAACAAATTACAAAAATAATACATGATTAAATGCAAATTCATGATGACAGAGACAAGGCCAATAAAGTTTTAAAAAACAAAATGTACTTTAATTCCTTATCACATGCAGTATGACAAGGCTTTCCGGTGACAGGTGTGGAAAGGTAACAAAGGAAGAAGCTATAGATTTTGAGAATGTCAGTGGTTGTGCAAGACCAGGAATTATGCTAGCTCTTGTAGGGGGTGCTAATGGAAGTGTAGCTACACTGCTAAAGTGCCTTTCAGGTAGGACACCTCTAGGTGGTAGTTTTACTGGAGATATCCGAGTCAATGGCACCAAATCCTCTGCTGATTTCTCAAGAAGAGTGGGCTATGCTGAGCGGCTTGATGCACATCAACCTTACCTCACCATACGTGAGTCACTTCAATTCAGTGCCAGCCTTAGATTAACAAATCGCATAAGCAAAGCAAGAAGGCATATGCATGTTCAGTTAGTTCTTGACCAGCTGGGCTTGCAGTATTATGCCAATAACTTGGTTGGTTCCCTGAGAGATGGGACTGGGAAAACATTTGAAGTAGCAAAGAAGCTCACAATTGCAGTTGAACTTGCAGCAAACCCAAGTATTCTATTCCTTGAGGAGCCTCTTTCAGGTCTTGATTCATCTGGTACCTCAGCAATCTTGAGCATCTTATCACAATTACCAGTTTGCGGTCAATCGGTCATCGCAACATTTAACTATCCCAACACCCGTGCACTTTCACACTTCCATCAAGTCATCATCCTAACTCAAGAAGGCCGTCAAGCTTACTTTGGCCCAGTAGGACTCAATTGCCATGAAATACTTGGATACTTTACCGCGATCCCAAGGGTTCCTCACTACCTTCAGACACAGAATCCTATAAGTTTTGTTATGGGTGTAACTGGACTTGGAATTCCAAGAAAAAAACTTGCAGTGACAGATTTTGCAGACGAGTTTCAGAACAGTCATTTGTATGAGGTGGCCATGAAGGTCATTAACACTGCTATGAAGAACAACAAACATGGAAATGAAAAGGACCATAACATGAGATCCATTAGTTACAACTATCCAGTGTCATTTATAAGGCAAATAGGGTTGGTTTTGTTAAGGACACAGAGGTTCTTATGGAGGAATGTCAACTACACTTACAGCAGGTTTACTGGCTGTGTGATGATTGGATTACTGATGGGCTCACTCTATTTTAAGATTAAGTACGAAGACACATATGAGGTGACTTCTAGATCACTGTACATCTACATGCAAACTATACTCATCGGGGTTATATCTGCTAACAATGTGATTCCTCAAATTGGCACTGACAAGCTTGCCTACTTCCGTGAAATGAGGTCCAAGATGTACCTTCCAATAATCTATCCTGTGTCATGGGTGATCAGTGAAATTCCCTACTTCCTCATAGCAACATTGGCATTCGTGGGCATTGGCAATGGCATGGCGGGGATAGCAACCCAGACAGCCGCCGATTTCTTGGCCTACTGGTCAGTTCTCTTCCTTTTCACACTCTGTATGACCTACTTTGGCATGATGATTACATTCCTGGCTCCGAGCCCGATCCTCGCCGCCTTCCTCGTCTCCATAATCACATCGCTGTGGATCTCTGCCTCTGGTGTGGTGGTCCTCTTCTCCGATATCAGGTTCTACAAGTGGATGTACTGGATGAACCCGTTTCAGTATGCGATGAGTGTGCTGACGGTGATAAGTTTCTACTGTGACACATCCCAGTGCGAGAGACAGTGCCAGTGCCCACAGCTCCCTGATGGCTCATATGTGTGGGAAAGGATAGCAAGCATACGATCCTTGAGTGAAAAGAGGATAAGCACCGATGTGGTAACCTTAGCAGGGATGAGCATTATGTTTGCTGTGTTCGCTTTCCTCTTCTTCACCGTGCTGAAGCACAACTCAGCACATGCCCATTGAGAGTCACACACAGATCAGATTTGTGTTCTGCCATTGAATAAGTGTTCTAATTCATCAGTCATGACAGGAAGTCAGATTTGTGTTTCAATTGTATTCTGGTTCATGGCAGTGACAGAATTGGGTTTGCATTTCCAAATGTTCCTGTTCATCACATTGTGTAGAGTACTGTAACTTGAAAGCAGTATTATCTTCGAGATGTACTACTTTTGTTTTTAAATATGTACATGATGAGATGCTACTGTATTTGACATTTCGACACATGGCAAGAATTCTCTATGTACCGCAAAATATTTACTTCCACTATCATTTCCAGAGGACAAGGTTATTTATGTCTTGCATAGCAGTGCCAAGCTACTCTACTAGACATGTAATGCAAGCACATAAAACACGCTGAAATCAAACATCCTAGCAAAAAAACATGTGGGGAGCAAGGACAAGAGACGAACCAATTGCTCGGAGGAATTTGTGAGAGGAATCATCCGCGAACAGTAAAATTCAGCCGGGAACAGTACTTCCTCCATACCAGCCGAACGCAGCCTGCAGAGAACCCTTCCTTGTTCATCACATTGCCTTCCTTGTCTCCCAGCGCGGCAGCGTTCCAGACCCCAGCAACCGGACGCCGCCTGCCAAGCGGCCCAGGCGCGCTGCTGGCTGCCGCGCCAGGCAAGGCTCCCAGCCGCCCAGCGCCCGCGCCTGGCACGCAGCGCAGGTGTAGACGCGCGTGGCCATGGGTGGTATGGTTTGGGGATTTTTGGAATGGGAGGCGCCCGCCGCTGCTTCCGGGCCGGGGATCGCCGCCCACGTTTTGCCGTCGCAGTTGCTACTACTAGGGGGCCATGGAGCATGGATGATGGAACTGGCCCGGGCGGACCGAAAGCGGAACCACTCGAATACGCCAACCAATAGCCAAGGCCTTACTGCTCGGTTATTTTTGCACGAGGTAGCCCACTCCACGGAGGCACAGTCGCTCGAGCGCAAAGAGGCCAGCCGCCGCCGCCCCGCCGCCGGGAGATCCGCAGGTATTCCACTCTCAATTCCTGAAGTCAGAACCTAATCACCATTGCTGCTGCTCCGCTCCCCCTTCTTGGCCTGGTTCCATTGGCGTTAGAGGAGGGGAAAGGTTTTTCCTTCTTTCTTGGCACCGGCTCCTTCGCAGTTCGCGGACTTGGGGCGCGGCTGGGGAGCCCGTTGCGCCGGCTGCTGCGGTTGTTCTCGCTTCTTCCTTCAGGTTTGGGAGTGCAGGGAGAGGAGGGGGGAGGCGGGCTGGGGACAGGCAGGGACGGTTTCGCTCACGAGGTATTCGTGGAAATGTCAAATGCCACAGCCAGCTAGTTCGTGTGGCGGTGCTGCCTCTAGTACTTCGGTTTCACTTGGGAATTGGAATGGAACTGTTGTTGTTGTTGATCGCAGGTTTCTCTTGGGACGACTTGCATTGATCAATACAATGGTCAATGGACTACCTCTGATGATCTTTTTGTATTAGTTTTACAAATGCATAGGATCACCCAGTATAACATGGTCTATCTCTGGCCCTACAATGGTTATTTCGAAATTTGAAGAGCATCCCTCGATACAGTAACAGCCGTGCTTGATTATTCTTTGCTATCCAGTCCTTGTCTTGGAAACACTAATAATTATTTTTTATTGCCTGCCCTTCCTCTCTTTCCCCTTTCTCCTGAATTTTCGGTTCAGCATGTTCAGTGTCAATGTCAACAGTTTGTCACAAATTAAGGAAGGGAGGCATATTCTTGAAAGAGCCTTCCCCTTTTCTCCTGAATTTTAGTTCAGTAGCCATGCTTGCTGTGCGCCTGTGCGTTCAGTGTCAACAATTCTACACGACACAAATTAAGGAAGGGAGGCATATTCTTGAAAAAACCTGCCCCTTTTGGCCTTAGTTTGTGCTCCAATAGAGCTCTGGATTCCTGCATGTTTGGGACTTGGTGACTGAAGTAAAGCTTCAGCTAGGTATGCAAGATGATCACCGTTGGAGGTTGACAGAGTCTGGTCAATGGTGGCATAAGGTGAAATGCTTTGGTTCCTGGTGCTTCTGGTGGTGGTCTGAACACTCTGATCACACTTGGAGCCTGAAGATTATGGCTTCACAGGAACGAGTGTGTTTTCAATGGAGCTGCCCTAGTGTGTAAGTAGTCCTCCGGCAGATCCATAGGAAGGGCAGCTCTGGGTTTTAGCGGGGCCTAGAGGCTTGGCACAGCTTGAGGCTGCATCGAGCTAGTTAGTCTGGTCGTTTTGGTAGAGTTCATTTCTTATTAGTGGTGCACATGTGATGTAATTGTTTGTGTGTAGGGGACTGTGCTGTGCCATTGTGAGTTATGTTGAGTGTGTGGGTGTTGGGGTCTGTTGTACTTTTTCTCTTCTTAATGCAATGATGCGCAGCTCTCCTGCGTATTTGAGAATCCTTTTTTTTTTTGGTTCAGTAATTCCTTTTTTGGTTAAGTAGTCATGGTAGTTGCTCTTTTTTGGTGTTAACAATTCATCAACACAAATAAAGGAAGGAAGACATCTTCTTGGATAAGTCCAATGACGCCTTCTATTGGGCTGCCTATTTTTCGTTCAGTAGTTGCCTGACCTGAGGCCTAGGTGACTTCATGGATGTTGAGATATTGCAGTCTACTTGCATTGATCAATAGGGGGGCATGAAAGGCCCATGTATTGGTTGGATGGGTCCTCCGCTATCTCTTGGAAATATCATATTTTGACACAAGCAACTATGGGCCTTTGGATGGATGTAACTTTGTGAGCATTTGGGACAAGTTTCCATCCCTAGCTCTTTCATTTTGTTGATAAAATAGGTGGTATATGTGTACATCAACAGGTGAGTTTTTATATTCTTTCCTGTCCTCTTGTGGTAATATGTTTTACAATTTTACTGTGCGCTTTAAACATTATTTGACCAAAGTTTTCTGGCCACATTTTCTTATTGTTGTTGGCCACAGACACATATAAGTACACATGTTGACTTCTTTTCTTGTTCTAACCATCCTCTCTGTGCATATTATTGATGAAAGCAATTTCTTATATCTTTTTAGTGACTAGCACAACATTAAAGAAGATGCCTTCACTCCAGAAAGCCTTGCCTCCAGAACTTGCTGATAATGTGCTTAGGGTAAGGCTCCTTTTGCACCTTTTGCTTTTTGCTGTGTTCTACTTGGTATTATGGGTGGCGACCAACTTTCAAATCAACTTGTACTGTTGTATTGTTAATGAATAGTCAGTCATCAGGCTTCATTCATTTGGATCAGTTACCCTAAATTCTAGCTTCAGCTTTTCCAGAAGACACATCTAACATGCGTCCTATAGCCTAGTTCTTTGTTACTTTTATGAAAAATTGTCATGAATGACAACAACAACAAAGCCTTTAAGTCCCAAACAAGTTGGGGTAGGCTAGAGTTGAAACCCAGCAGAAGCAATCAAGGTTCAGGCACGTGAATAGCTGTTTTCCAAGCACTCCCATCTAAGGCTAAGTCTTTGGGTATATTCCATCCTTTCAAGTCTCCTTTTATTGTCTCTACCCAAGTCAACTTCGGTCTTCCTCTGCCTCTCTTCACGTTACTATCATGGCTTAGGATTTCACTAAGCACCGGTGCCTCTGGAGGTCTCCGGTGGACATGTCCAAACCATCTCGATCGGTGTTGGACAAGCTTTTCTTCAATTGGTGCTATCCCTAATCTATCACGTATATCATCGTTCCGAACTCGATCTCTTCTTGTATGACTGCAAATCCAACGCAACATACGCATTTCCGCGACACTTATCTGTTGAACATGTCGTCTTTTCGTAGGCCAACATTCTGCACCATACAACATAGCAAGTCTAATCGCCGTTCTATAAAACTTGCCTTTTAGCTTCTGTGATACCCTTTTGTCACATAGGACACCAGATGCTTGGCACCACTTCATCCACCCTGCTTTGATTCTATGGCTAACATCTTCATCAATATCCTCGTCTCACTGTAGCATTGATCCTAAATATCTAAAGGTATCCTTCCTGGGCACTACTTGACCTTCCAAACTAATATCTTCCTCCTCCCGAGTAGTAGTGCCGAAGTCACATCTCATATACTCAGTTTTAGTTCTACTGAGTCTAAAACCTTTGGACTCCAAAGTCTCCCGTCATAACTCCAGTTTCTGATTCACTCCTATCCGACTTTCATCAACTAGCACTACATCGTCCGTGAAAAGCATACACCAAGGGATGTCCCCTTGTATGTCCCTTGTGACTTCATCCATCACTAAGGCAAACAGATAAGGGCTCAAAGCTGACCCTTGATGTAGTCCTATCCTAATCGGGAAGTCATCCGTGTCTCCATTACTTGTTCGAACACTAGTTACAACATTGTTGTACATGTCTTTAATGAGCCCGACGTACTTCGTTGGGACTTTATGTTTGTCCAAAGTCCACCACATAACATTCCTTGGTATTTTATCATAAGCCTTCTCCAAGTCAATAAAAATTGTCATGAATAAAACAAACAAAATCATAGCTGATGAGGAAAAACCTTTTTTTTTTGTTTACTATTTTCTCTTTTTTCATGCTGTAGTTATATCGAGAATGCTTACGGAGGGCGAAGTATATTGGGCATCAGGTATGCATATTTTTTTGTCTGAAAATTTACCATTGCTCCCACCTTGAAGTTGTGAAAAGTTCTTTGTAATAATAGACTGAATCAGCCTTTTGTAATCCAGAAACACAATACAGAGCTTTTAGTCACCATGGTGAGGCAACAATTCAAGAAAAATATGCATGAAACTGATCCAGAGAAGATACAGAAAATGAAGGATGAGTAAGTTACTGCCCAGTGTACAATTTTAATTTTCTTTTCAGTTTTACTATCTTCCAGTACTTTATCATGGTCGAAGCATATCTTATGAAATTATTCCTTGCTATGCAGTGCTGCAAGGGGCCTTATCAATCATATTCTGTATGAGTCTGAGAAGATTACAGGACGCAAATTTTCAGGTTAAAAACGGAAGTTGAAACTAGACTTACAGTGTGCTGTATGAATAATATAGTAAAAACAATTTACTTTGTTACCTTTCAATTATTCCACCTCTATTGTACAAGGACCTGCAAATGTTTCCTTCGGATTGCTGAGACTCGAGCTATTACAGCAATGATTTTCAGTAACCATGAGTTTGGCTGTCTTTTCTTTTATGCATTTGTCCCATAAATGACGTACCCAGTGCAGAGAGCTCCCGCTCTGTGTGGGGTCTGGGGAAGGGTGTTAGTGACAAGCCTTACCCTCGCCTGTGCAATGCGAGGAGACCGCGACTCGAACCCGGGACCTTCCGGTCACAGGCGGTAAGACTCTACCACTTGCACCAGGCCCGCCCTTCTGTCCCATAAATGCTGACTACAAATTGTTTTGGATATCTTATAAATGTAATCCTACTCATAGCCAGGAGACAGAAATCTTCGGTGACTGAGAATGCTCCTCTCTTCCCTAGTGGTTATGGATAATACCCCTTCCTTTTTGCTGTTGTGTATTGATACTTCACAGCCTTCATGAGAGGATTGATAAACTGTAATAATTGGTGTTGTTTTACCATGCTTCTTGGTTCCATCTCTGTGTCTGAACCACAGCCATGATTTTGCAGAAGTGCACACTGCTCATATTTGTGGCAATGGTTTTTTCGTTTGAACTTCTTCATCACCGAAAGTATTTTATGTTTTGGGGATCCCACCTGATGCTCTGCAGCATGGGAACATTTTTTGCAGCGAAAGCTTTGCAATTATAGAACATGTCTCCTTGGCAGAAGTATGATTTGTTATTACGATTGCTTGCATTGTGCTTAAGACTGAATGGAGCAGTTGCCTTCATTCTTTCATTGAAGTGTTGTCCAGTTCCACAGATGTCAGAAGTGTTTCAGCCGTTCATTGCCTCCCGAAAATCCGTCCAAGTTTCAGTGGAGCAACACATTGCATTCCAATAATTCATGGTCACATCTGCAGATGCTGGATGATGTGTGTGCATGGATCTGATGTCTCAATCTTTTAACTGGCGCAATCTACATCCCTATGAAATTGTCACATTGCTCTTTAGAATCCGGAAAAGTGAGACCAGAACAAATGGGGTCCCATCGAAAGAGATGGTAGAGGGATGCATGAAATGTAACTGAAGGGGATGATGAAGAATTCAGTGGCTGTGGAGTAGAGGGAATGTGATGTAACCCTGGGAACTGGGGGCCATTTCAGGAATTGCGTGTCAGAGCACGGCACACCACTTGCTGTCTGCAGGTCAAATGATGGAGAACAAACACACCGTTCCTGGAGCTACACTCAATTCACTGAATTTTCATCCAGGACTCATCCATGGACCTGACCTGAAGATTATCGCGCTTTTGCCGCCATGCCTTTGAATTCCAGCCACTACTTTCTCTTCAACCCTCGCATCACTCCCCAGATCCTTGTGGCTGAGATCACTCCTTGTTCATCTTTCCAGCACAGTTTCATCGCCTGTTTCAGCTACTCCATCATCAGTCCTAACGCACGGGCTCTCAAGGAAAATTATCGATGCGAAAAAGGAGGACGAATGACCATAATTGCCGACAATGGGCGTGTCGTTTAGCCCAGCAGCAGCAGCTCCTATGAGGTGAGCCTGCATCTATGGTGGTTATGACATGTTGGCTTCAGCAGGTCAATGCTTCAGGGCCAATGCAGGGGTGTCTTCTAAAGCTGGAATCATGGCTGCAGTTGAAAGAGGGATGAAATGTAACTGTGTGTTGTTCTGTGCTGTGGTGCCACCCTCAAGTCTTTGCACTTTCTACCTACTGCAGGCATGTGTTACAGTTGTTCCCTTTGTTCCTTGCATCACATGAAACTCCACCACAAAGAGCCTTTCCCTCTATAGTAACATGAGCAAGTACGATTTTCAGGCTGTATTCAGAGCAGATGTAGTTGGCATCATAACATGGAGAACATTGGCCATGCAGGTCTCCTATACAATCATACCATCTCTTACAGCTTGTGATGGTGCCTAACAAATCACTGCTGGAATCAGCATGGCATACCTCTGCAGATAAATAGAGTGGAAGACTCAGACGATTGGTATCTCCCTATGCAATCATCTTTCTGTCTGAATCAGTCATTTCTGACCTTATCTTGTTTTTTGCATGCGCATCTCTCGATGAAGCTCTCAAGTTAAAAACTTCTCTAGATAAAGTGTAACTGTATAAGTATATTATTACATCGTTTCCCCTTTTCTGAACTTTCAGTTCATTGAATTTCACGAGATTTGCATCAGCACAGAGCACTTTAGGAGAACTTTACGTTCTGCATTGAATATTGAATCATACATTCACTATACATTTTGGAAGCAAAAGTAATCTCAAAACCACATCACCATTGCCAATTCAAGCTGCATTTGCGTCTACCAATTTGCTACATCAATAGATTGACAGTTATAGCATAGTTCAATACTCCATCTGTTCCAAATTATAAGACGTTTTAGCTTTTCTAGATACATGATACATTGTTTTTACTATGTATGTATATCTAAGTACATAGTAAAGACTATGTATCTAGAAAAGCCAAAACGTCTTATAATTTGGAATGAAGGAATTAGCTACGCATTCAAGTGAAAAAGCAAGAAAACTTGTTATAACTAACAAAATATTGAAATATGTGCAAATTAAGAAGGGAAGCAAGGCCTATAAAGTTCAATGCTTCAGCACCATTGTCAATGGAATATTGTGAGCACTTGAGTATTCCAGAATCCAGATACATCCTTGAGCTCAATGGAAATGCATGTGCATAATTTCCACCAATCATGTACATATTAATGATTATAAACAATGAAAGGATGATAATTTGCAAGTGACAGGATTTTTCAAGTAGTTACTCTAATATTCTGCTAGTTCAGAGATTACAGGTATAGCACTCCTTTAATCAGGAGAACAAAAAAAAAAGAAGAAAAAGAGGCTAGAGATACACATAAATAGTAATCTCATCAGAGGACATCTTCATATAAGGATACTAACACTAAAGCCACTTTAAAATCACTCATATTACTGATGGTCAGTAGTTGCATAGCTTAAGCAATACATCATTGCTTTATTCACTTTGGCGTTGAGCCTTCACCCAACTTGGATGGCGTCCTAGGGCTGCTTCTCCCTCCCAGAGGGCTGCGCTCATGCCGGAGCTCAGTGACACGAGGGCTGTATGCTTTTTCAGAAATGGATGGGCTGCGGATGCCTTTCAGTTCTGCCACAGGTGTGCCACCTGAGCTGGTGATCTTCGGGCTGTTGAGGCGTTTGATCTCACCCCGGCTTCTCGTGACCATGTCGTCTAGGATTTCTGCACTCTGGGTGCGTCCCAATGCGACATCGATGTCTTGCTGAAATACATGAGATTTGAGTTTCAGGGAAATGCAACATGACTAAAAATGTTCTAGTACAAAATACCATGTTGATGAGCAAGACTCATGTATTTTTCAGAATAGATGATGTCTTTCTGAACTTACCGCAGCAAGGCTGAATGGTATAGCCGGTGATTCCTCGTATTCAGCTGCATCTAGGTCAGTTAGATGTGCACCTTTGAAGAGCTTGGGGAGGATGTACTGCCTGACTGGAACCAGGAGCATGATCATGAGGGGGAAAAGAACTCCAGCTATTGGAATCCATGTGATTCCAAAGCAGACCAACAGGTACGATGTCTGGAACAATGTGAACATGGCTATCGTCTTGAATGGCACTGTCTCGACGAACGTGGTGTGGTACTCTTCAAGCACCCTGGGAAATATTTACAGTAATTTCAGTCTTCCAAAGCAGCTAAATTAACAGTATTTAGCATAATATATTGTTTCTTGAATCCATTGGATCATGCCTTTGCGCAGTTTGTGGATATGCAAAAACAGAATCAGAGGTGCCAAAGCCAAGCTAATCTTTTGAGATAAAATAAACTTACTTGTATCTTCTGCTGGGAGCAGTGAAGAGCAGCAAGATCCTCTCCCAAAACTGGTTACCAGGCAAGCTCTCAATGGCCATGAAGGCAAAATAGCCCCAGAGGACAGATGTAGGGATTTTCTTGAGTAGCGGCATAGCAGCGACACAACCCCCCACCATGGAAGCCTGTAGCAAGTTGCTCAAGCGCTGCTCCTTGACCTCGATGGGCAGCAGATCATCAATTTCTTTCTCTATGTCAAAGACTGTCTCATCAACTGGTGCATCAATGTTACCCATATTCGAAGCTAGCTGGACTGTTGAGTCCTTGAGCTCATTTAAGCCCTATTTTTTTAAAAAAAAAAGTATAGAAAATGTTATATAAAGAAATCGTCTGAATAAAGTGTTGTGAAATACTAAGTTTTGGGTAATAGAACACGTACTCTTCTGACAGACTGCTGCTGATAAACCAGTGGTGTCTGCATCTGCTGATAAGCATCCTGCATGCTGCCATACAGTTGGCTCAAGCTTGCATTCTGGCTCATGCTCTTTCGTGCAGTGGCTACTAGACGGTTACGAAGCAGCTGAACAGAAATGTTTGCCATGTGAGTGAGAAATCAGATATTCACATGGTATTTTGAAGTACTATTTAAAATTTTCATAACTCACCTGGTGCTTGAGAGTAGCCAAACTCTTTGTATGCATGGGTGATTGTGGAATGACACCATTTGATGGAGGGATACCAATAAGGCCACACATTAACGTCTACAGTTCAAAACATTGATGTTATCAAAATGTATAGAAAACACCAAAACTTGGTACTGAAAATTGTGCACATCTGGGCATACCAGGAAGCCTAAGAGAAGCAAATCGTAGTGGAAGGATGGAGGTTTCCTCAAATTGAACTCTTTCTGCTGAGCAAGCTGAGATGCAACACTATGATCGAAGTAGTAGAGAACAGCAATCATCGTTGCTGGTATGAAGGCACCAATGATATAGAGGAGTGGAACTTGTGTCATATCCTGCTCATTTGATTGATGTGGAAAAA